TCTCAGTTCTCCCCAAATCTCGGCGGCGGTCTCAGTTCTCCCCAAATCTCGATTTTCTGTTTCTGCACCCGTCTGCCCGCCTACAGTCTTCCCCCGAATACAACGTACGGTCATTATAGCTGAATTTAGACTGCAAGATAGACCAAATTTGGCTATAATGACCGTGCGTTGTATTCGGGGGAAGACTGTAGTCAAGGACCTTATGCGGGTCCTCATGCCCCCCTCCCTTTGACGTGTGTGCCACATTTTCCCAGCCCCCTCCTGACAAGGACCCTATGTGTGACAGGTAGGTGTGTCACACATGCCGAGGTCCGATCCTATCACTCTGCCGTATCGCGGACGCTCTGAGTGGTGGTCCCCAAAATGACCAGCCACTGCAGCCCCCCATCTGAGTCGCTTTTCCCTCCACAAAATGAACAGAGATGATCGTGCACTACGGATTTCAGCCCTTGGCTCCATTTCTCTCTCTCTCTCTCTCTCTCTCTCTCTCTCTCTCTCTCTCTCTCTCTCTCTCTCTCTCTGTGAGATGATTTGATGGTCCAGTGCAGATATGTCCAAATTGCTGCATTTTGTGGGGGCTCGCCAGAGTCAGTCGAGTACAAAGTGCAGGTAGGTTCTGCACTATCATGAAGGGTCAAGGAAAAAGGACTTGGTTGAAAGTTGAAACAAAGTTTGACCATGTGCGACTTACGAAATACGACTGATGTTCCTCCTCGCCTTCGCACTCACCCAGTCTTTCATGCGTCCAAACTGCTAACCCTTTGCCGAAAGCGGACAGTTACACCTTTATTAAGTGAAGCTGGGTAAGCCTCCCAGTCAGAATAGCAAAATAACTGATTAGTTTGCGTAGTGGTTGCCTCTTTTGGAAGGAACACAAAAAAGAAGGAAAAAAAAGAGCGGACAGTTCCCTTCCAGAAGGTCAATGTTCTCAAAAAAAAAAAAAAAAGGTCAATGTTACCGCCCTCCATGGGTCTGGCTATGTGCATGCTGACTCAACAATTGGAGAGCACCTGTATATGGCAGTCAGCGTCTAAGCCAACTGCAGACTCTGAGGGTGACCACCAAAGCCACAGAAACGATTTCACGTCTGCTTCATCAGACATTATTGTGGACCCAAGCGAAGATCGGTGGTACACACCAGGGAGGAACTAATGACGTCTGCACCCCAAGTGACCTCAAGAGATAACAGAGCTCTCAAATGAAAGCAACAGTGCGTGTGGGGTTTATCCCAAAGGACTTTCACACCTAAGGGACTGGTTAGCGTGAAGCCCCAGGCTGCACGCATGGGCAGGCTGGGCCTCTAGGCCCTAAATTATGGGCGCTAACGAATCAGCTGCATGGGCTGGAAGGGACAGGGCCAGTTGGCAGTCCCTACCGACCGAACGGAACCCCTCGACCTCTACAGATAAGACAGGCCGTGCTGCTGGCAGATCATTTGGACAGGCTGCTGACTGGCTGCGACAGCGCTATCATGTGTCATATGACCATGCGATGGTGCACCTAGGAGATGACATGAGCAGTAGTGGGGCTGTGCAGAAGACAGGGGCCATAGCTGGATAGGAGCCGTGCCGAGGAGGAAGGGTGATGAGGCGAGGGGAGGTCCTTGGTGGTGAGGAAGGCCGTGGAAGGTTGGCGGATACTCAACGAGGTGGTTGCCAAGAAGCGCTCCAACACTCTTCAGTGCTCACAAGTGGAGCCGAGCTGAGCGGCTGGTTAGATAATAAGCTAGGCTAGGCAGTGGCATAGGCAGTCTTACCTGACTCGGTGACTCCTACGTCACTGGTGTCTTTGCCGATTAGAGGCGAGAAGGAGGGGTCATAATCAAGAGACTTCAGTGTTGTGTGCGCGTTCTGTATTGGTGTGATCTCGAGCTCGTCTTTTCTCAGTTTGGTCTACTCATGCATGCTGCTCAATGTGTCTGTGTTGGTCAAAAATTGAGTTCCCACAGGCTGGTTCCTTAAAACCTTCACTACCTTTCAGGCTGGGAGGCTAAGTTGTGAAGATAACCTATTCTGCATGCTTCAGAGGCTGGCGGATGCTGGGCGCTGCTGGACCAAAAAGGCTTGAGCTGGCGCTTCAGCCAGAGCTTGGCGCGCAGTTCTACTCCGCCTCGACAAAAAGAGGCTCGAAGGTAGTGATGGCTTAAGAATTTTTTTCTTCATAGAGTGCCAGAAGCTTTTGTTGGCATAACTTTGTTGCATCCGAAAGGGCTGTAACAGGAGATAGATGGATTAACAGTCCCAAGCACACAAGGCATGTGCGCTACCCATCTTACCCCCACAAGCACAACGCACCCTGATCCTGGCTTTACGGGACCTGAAAGATAATGAAAGAAGAACATGGCGACCTCAGCTCTTCTGTCACTCTAGGATGAACGGTCATAGCACTGTATATCCATTCTAAAGTTGCCCCAAATACAGGTAAAATGACCATGCAGGAAGATAGGGTGGTGTGAGGAAACCCCAAGGGCACCTCTGGTGATGGAACCCAGGGACCTCTACCTAAGGGACCCTTCCTGGGACTTGGAGCACACGACCTCTGCCCAAGAGACCTTTGAGTAGGGAGACAGGACCTCTGTCCAAGGGGCCTTGGGACTAGGAACACAGGACCTCGACACAAGGGGCCCTTGGGCTAGGAACTTGGGGGACCTGGGACCCTGGGGCTAGAAACTTGGGGGACCTTGGACTAAGGGACCCTGGGGCTTGGACCCTGGGGGACCTTGGACGATGACCTGGTTTCCTAGATCGAAAGAACCAAGGGACCTCTACCTCTGCGGCTCTTTTTCTCGTGGTGGATATGTGCTGCCCGCCTAGTTCAAAACAAACCAGTGGCTGCGCACCTAGTGCAAAACAAACCGGTGCGGCCATATTTTTCTTTGAAGGCTGAGCCCCAGAAGCATGCAAATGTAAACCAATTCGTCACTAAAGTTTGCCTGTGAAAGGTAGTGGTGATTTAAACCACCAGTTTAGATGAGCTAAGGTTGTGGCCTTGCCGGTATACGTAGTAAGATGCGGCCTTGCTGGTATACGCGGTAAGACAGTTTTGCTTCGGGCCTGGGTCGGTAGCAAAAGCGGCTGGCCTCTTTGAAAATGCACAGTTGCACGCTCACGAGGCCACTTTGAAAAGGACCCTATGTGTGACACGCGTGTCACACATGCCGAGGTCCGATCCTATCACTGCCGTATCGCGGATGCTGAGTGCTGGCCCCCAAAGCGAGGTAGCATCGATCGACCAATTCTGTCACCAAGGACAGACCGACTCCTGAGTCGTCCTTCATCCTTCCCTATTTTGCATATGTACTCCACACTCCTCAGTTTCCCTTTGTCTTCCTTTGAAAAAGCATGCGGCGTGTGAGCACATGCTTTTTCGCGGGCACTCTCCAACAACGCTTGCGAAAGGATGGACTTCCTATATTCATAAACGTCAACACAGGTACCTTGCGCATGTGACCCGCCTCTCCAACTGGTTCCGCAGCATGCTTCGGTGGTCTATTCACCACCCGCTTTCTCGGGTATCCACACACTGTCCTCGGACTACGCTTGTCTTCCTTTGAAAAAAGCATGCGGCGTGTGAGCACATGCTTTTTCGCGGGCACTCTCCAACAACGCTTGCGAAAGGATGGACTTCCTATATTCATAAACGTCAACACAGGTACCTTGCGCATGTGACCCGCCTCTCCAACTGGTTCCGCAGCATGCTTCGGTGGTCTATTCACCACCCACTTTCTCGGGTATCCACACACTGTCCTCGGACTACGCCTGTCACAGCCCCTTCTTCATTACCGGCGCCTGTCACACCTATCACAACCTCTTCTTCATTACCTGCATCTGTCACACTTGCGTCGTCATCAGTTTTAGTAACCCCTTCCATGTCGTTTGTGACCCTGGTTGCCCCTTTTCGGTTCGCAGCCTCTTCCTCATCGACCTTGGTTGCTTCTATGATTGATTCCGCGGGAGCAACTTGACCCGCAGCTGTTGTGTCGCCCTTGGTCTCGGTGTGTTCCTCCATGGCATTCGTGGCCACCGCAATTGCTCTGTCACCCTTGGTCTCGGTGTGTTCCTCCATGGCATTTGTGGCCATGCATGCATTACCACCTGCAGAGTCCCCTCTTTGGGTCTCACCTAGGACTGCGCCCCCCTGTCTCTGCTTCAGCCACTTCACCACCCCTGACATCATCACCCCTGACTTCGTCCACCCGTCTTCATCGCCTTTATTTCCCCTGGTTTTATCTCCGTCTGTTACCCACATTACGACTACACTACCACCCCTGTCTTCACCACTCCTACCTCCCCTGGTTTTGTCTCCATCCGTTACCCCTCTTCCTAATCCACAAACCACTTCGTCCACACAGACTCCGTCATCATGTTCTGCCCCTGCAGAAAGCCTACTTGGCGTCCTAGACGCCGGCTTCGGCCTACTTCCCAACCTCAACTTACTCCCCTTTCCTTCATCTCTATTCTTGGAGGAAGAAGAACCCATTCATTCTCCCCACCATGACCCTCCCCAACATCCCGTCCCCGTCTTTTGCCGCCCCAAGCATCCTTACCACGCCTGCGATGCTCTTCGACTGCAAACCTTTCTGCAACGCGGCAAACACAAAATAGGAGCGATAATGGCGAGGGACCATCCGAGGATGAACTTCGCAAGGGGACTGTAGGAGATTTTGTAGAAAATCCGCCTGACCGGCCTCCACGGAATCTGTGTGGCCTCGCTGCTACTAACATTTGCCTACAAGCCTACCGTCGGGAACCATATACTCACTCTAATTTCTTGGCCATTGCTTCTGATATTGATGCTAAGGAACGTGAGTTATATGGTGATAACGCGACTCTGCATCCCCCACAAGATAGTAATTACACTCCACATGGGGGATTCAATGTCTCTGTTTTGGAGACTGCTTTGATAAGGCGCCGACTTGATATGCAGCGTGCCCGTTGGGTGGCGACCCGAACCACTGTTCGCACATTTGTGCCTATATTCTACATGCTCCTGGCCACACCGCTCTTGTCCGAGCCTCTGTTTCTTGGGAATTATGGAATGGCGGTGCTATGGTGCGAACTATTGCTGCCATCTGTGATCTCGTGCGTAATTACCCTAACCTGCAACTGTTGTAGGTCATTGACCCTATGGGTACCTCGTGTACTTCCATGCCCGCCTCTACGCCTATCTCTGTGTCTGCCTCCATACCTGTCTCTGTGCCTGTTTCTATGTCTGTCTCCTTCCAGATTATTGACCCTATGGGTACCTCGTGTGCTTCCGTCCCCGCCTCTGCACCTGTCTCTGCACCTGCCTCCGCACCTGTCTCCATGCCGGTTACTGTGTTTGTCTCCGTGCCTACTTCCATGTCTGTCACCGTGCCTGCTTTAGTCTTCATTCCCCCACATGCTGCACTAACACCGTGTGACCTCCTTTTTTGTGAGATCACTGACATAGTTACACTTGGTTGTGGAAAGCATCGACTTTGTCGACATTACTACAACCGTATAATTTTTTAGGCCTGCTGTCGGCAGGGATGCCACCTGTATCCAGATTGCGAACATCCTTTACATCCAGGTGCAGTATGTCCCATTTGTGCCTGCGGGCGCTATAGCGAATGTGCACTTCCACAATCGTCATGGCCTGCAACTGGCATGCCCTCTGTCGTGCATGCTTCAGAGGTATGGTTAATGCTAGCCATCGTGGCTCTTGTTGTGACGAAGTTGCTCACTTGAATGGTTTTCGTCCTGTAGATCAGCGGGAGGGCTGCTACCATCGCTCGCATCCTTATGACAGTTGTCCTGTCTGTCGTGAGGGTCTTACTTAGATGTACCTTGCACCCTGACGAAAATGTGCAGGTGCGCTGAAAAGAGTGTACAAGAATGTGCAAAGGTGGGAAACCCTTCACTAAAACTCCAAAATATTGAAGAATGAAGTAGAAGAACATAAGTTTGTGTGATTTTACTTTGTTTGTACCCTGCACCCTAACACCCTCAAAGGAAAAGTCCGAAGGGTGAAATGAGAATGAAAAATGAAGAAGTGGAGGTGCGCTGAAAAGCGAACGTGGTAGACTCTTCACCAAAACTGCAAAACTTTGAAAGAAAGAAGAATGCAGTAAAAGAAAGAAGATATTTGTGTCAACTTTTCTTGTTTTTTCTCCCTTTGCCTATCGGTTTTCCTTTTCTGCTCCTCTTATCCCTTGTTCAGTGTAAATTATTTTTGTGAAACACTGAAAGAAATAAGAATACAGTGAAACAAAGAATAAGAGGACACTGTTTTGTGTCATTCTGGTTTGTCTGTCTCTTTGTCTGTCTGTTCATTTTTCTTTTCTTCGCTCATCTTATTTCTTCTTCTACTTCACGTGCTTACGCTCTTAGTCAATAGTTATGTGACACTATATAGAGAGAGAGAGTTTGGGCGGCTATAGCCGCGTGAAATTTGAGTTTCGGAGACTTGCAACAAGTTTGTATTTTGAAGTAATATATTCAAGTTTTGGCTGACGTCTATCTCATGCTTTGTTGTTTGAGTGTTGTGTGAACATCCGAGACTTGCATGATCATGATTGGGACTCTTGAACTGAGTAGGGTCATCGCAAAGAAAAGGAAACTGTGAAAAATGCCAGAAGAAAGAAGGAACAGAAGGGCCCCACAGAAAAAATGAAAAGAGAACGGTTTCTGTGTTCCTCATGCTGTCTGCTCTTTCTCTTAATTTTGTTTCTCAAAGTGAACCCATTTAGTTGATAGATATATGAAATTAATGAATTATACGTACCACCGTATGTCAAAACTTACACATTATGCATGCATCCAGGAATTCAGGAGAATACACTGTGGGAATTTACCTTTGGATAAGAACATATTCAGATGTTTTACATACACTAGTAATCTAGTATAGTGTATGAGATACAACACATGTACATTATACTCTATTATAGTATTATACACATGCAATACATATACACTATTATTAGAGTATTATTATACACATAGAATACATTTACATATGCACACGAGAACAATGGAGCTTTGCAGTCTGAAGATGCTGTGGCCAGCAAGTTGAGTACTGGTTTTGTACTGTTGCTGTTGCTGTTGTTGATGCCCCAGAGGCAGCGGGAGCCATGGCCTGTATTGCGATGTCATTGGGAAGGACCTCGTCCTGTACATCTTTAACCGATCAAGAATCCTCTGCTCACTGTCGTACAGGAAGCAGTACTTCCGATCGTAGTGCCAATCAAGTGACAACAGAGAACACTTCTGAACATATCGGCACTGCGATCACTGATCTGCCTGAGGGATTGCTTAGTGAGGTGTTCGGGATACTGCACGGGCCAATGGAAGTATGCCGTGTGGCAACAGTCTGCTTGTTGTTTGCTCGAGCTGCGCGATCTGATCTGACATGGCGGCGGCTGATGCCACTTGGCGCCACCCAAATCGCTGAGTCTAATCTTCTCCCGCTAGCCGCCACCATAGTTCGTAGCAAGAACGACGAACGAGAAGATAGTGATGACCACAACAGAAAGAACTTGACGGATAGCTGGCGGGCCCATTACCAGCGACTGAGCGAGGGGATATTCGATATTAACTGTCCATTTGTCCATTACAAAATAGATCGGGCGCTTGGTGACCTTTGGATGAGCTTCTCTGTTATGGCGATGAATATCATCTTCCGCATGGAAGGTAGTGGGCGGTACTCCCGCCATTCACCCCTGCAGTTCAGATCGCCGAGTAATACTAGCTTCTTCAGCGAAGGGGTGTTGCTTGAGCCATTAAAAGACGATGGATTCGAAGTAAGCGGTCAATGGAGCGTCAGTTTGTGTCCGGGAAGGTATACGTGTGCATGGAGAATATCCCCCCACCCTAGTAGTTGGGATCAGAAGGGGAATACTATTGATACAAGTATTAATAATACGAATAGCAATAGTAGTGGACCTAGTGGTAGTAGTAGTAGCAGTTATGGCAGTGCTACCCCCGGTAGTAATAGGAGTCACAATACTACTTTGCCAAGCTTTCAACTCTGCAGCAGTCGACAAATGCTCAGGCAAAGAGATAACCAAATGACATTGATGTCCACAGTGCAATTGGAGGGAGGGGTAATGATGAAGCATGAGGTTAACATTGAGAGATGGCATAGGAGACAGCAGGGAGGACAGCGGCAAGAACCTGTGGTCCGTCTTTGTCCTTGTCGTCACAACTGTTCGGTCGACTCACGGGCACCGTCATTGCCACAAGCGCTCAATGGTTGCTGCCACAATGGGTCAGCTGTGGCACAGTCAGCGTCGGCCTCAGCCTCCACGTGCCCGTCATGGACTGTTGTCACGGCTGGAAGCTTCCACGTGCCTTGTCGTGAGGTGGAGCCTAATCCTGCTGTCGACCGTGATTCCGATTGGTTGGGCTGGGACGCTAGCAAGCATTCATGTGACAGGGGATCCATCGGTGATGGTTTGGTTGCCACCACTATTCATTTTTGTTTGGCAAACATTAAGAATGGGCTCTTTGTTGATGCCTTTATGATCCTCTCTGGCACATCTGTGGAAGGGAGGGAGGAGGAGGGAATGGAGAAAGAGGGGGGAGAAGAAGTTTTAGATGATTATTATGATGGCAGTGCTGGTCCTGAAGAGGACGTGACTGTCGCAGGTAGTAGTGCGCAGATGTGGCAATACCCATACCCATATAAAAATGTGATGCAGCAGTAGGTGCTGAGGATCAGGATAACTTGATAAGAAAACTACTGTTGCATGATTACAATACCTGATGTTCTTCATCTGGGTTTGTTGTACAACGAGCGGCAGAGAGAAACAGATGTGTTCGCTTGTTTATCACAGGCTCACAGCCAGAGAAATGCTTTTGGGATCTCTATGAGTACTCCATAGTCTTGCTGAACCAGAGGAGGAGGGCACAGCTAGGTGATGGGGGAGCTGTACTTCTGTTGCTCGTCCCTGTTGTGGTTTTTCAGTTTTATCCCTTGTGAAATGAGATCGAGTGTTTGGATGATGGGGGTATACCTCAGCCAGTAGAGCGCCGCTCTTCTATTTGCGTTTATTGCTACTTTTCCCTCTGCCCTCATGTTGGTTGTTTCTTCTTAATCATTCTATTTTTATTCTAAGAAAAAGGTATGTGTATCTTGGAATACCATCGAGAGTGCAGGCCTGAGTGAGTGCTTTGAATACCTTTTCTTCAAATGAGTTCACTTTCTTCCTTTATTCTAATATAAGAGCAAGGTAGCTGGGGGAGATGTTGGGCAAGCCCTGGGCTTTTTTTTTTTTTTTTTTTTCGAAAAAACTGCCCGTTTGGGAGCTAGGGGGCGCTGGTATGAGCAGACGCCTCTATCTCCCCCGGGGAGGCTAGCTCCAGATCCAGACATCCAAGCCATGGAGTCGATAGGGCAACCCGTCCATCAGGATGTCCAAAATAAAAAAAAAGTTGTTGTAAAGGCCTACCGGAGAAGGCAATGAGCCTAACTATTTGTCCAATGGTTTTCGTGTCAAGAATTCTGAAAATAATTCAAAAAATCAAAAAAAAAAAAAATTGAACTAATTCTGGAAAAGAGTGTTGTATGGAATGGGAATAAAAACTTGTGGCTGGAGGTTCGCTGCGAAATTGTGTACTAAAATTAAGATAACAAATGGAAAAGCAAAATAAACAGTAAATTGGCGTTGGGCCTGGCTTGGGGGAAGGGGTTCTCCTTTCTGCTTTCCTGGCCTGTGCAGGGCAGGTATCCAGGGCTTCGGGAGGTGGGTTTGATGGGGGTTTTCCTTTTGTAAGATCTTAGATTCTTTTTCTCCTTTTTTTTTTTTTTTTTCGGGGATAAACTCTCTGTCCTACGAGACAAAACTGCCAATCATGACTGCCCTTACTCGGTTACCTGCTGGGAAACATGCAAACAGATACTCCATCAATCAATCAACCCATCAATCAGGTAGTCAATTAGTCAATCAATCAATCAAACAAACAAACAAACAATCAAACGATCAAACAATCAATTACCAATCAACTGTCAATCAATCAATCAATCAATCAATCAATCGATCAATCAATCAATCAATCAATCAATCAATCAGTCAGTCAGTCAGTCAGTCCGTCAGTCCGTCAGTCAGTTCGTTGATCGGTCGGTCACTCCGTCGGTTCATCGGTTCTTGTTTGAGAGAGAAGTTCAAAGGGGCGGGGGACGGTTCGGCGTGTGTCTTCGGCGGCACATCTACGCGCCTGTGCTGTTTCACATCGGCACCTGAACACACAAACTCGAACACGTGCGTGAACAGTCACGAAGGGAAGTATGTGCTGGGGTTCCCATTTGGGAAGCTGCCAAGCCATGCCACACCAAATCCTCATGCAAGTGAGCAGAAGGTGGACTCCCCCTGGCAGCTCCACAGCGTGGACCTGGGGCTTCAACTTTTTTTTTTTTTTTTTTTAATAGCCTGTATGGGACTTAGGGGCGCTGGTACTAGCAGACGCCTCTTTCTTCGACTGACCTCAACATTTGTGTTTTGCTAAGTTCCAAATTGGACCAGACCGGTCGTTGGGAGGGGCGGGTGGCCCGCCAAAATGGTGCCGCGGGAATAGGACCCACCACGGTGAAATAGCTACGGGCTGGTGAATCGATGGGGTTGGTGGATGCTCAACGTTTCCGAATCCACTAGTCCCGGACACATTGGTGGAATTTGCAATTGGCGAGTGTGCGCAGTGACGCACCTCTCCACAATATTGGCATTTGGACAGACATTGCCTTTGGACCTCACCAAATGCAACGTCTGTCCACTAGTCCCAGTGGTATGGCAATGTCCAAAGGCAACGTCTGTCCACCGGGACCAATTCTATCTCCAATTGTGTCAGAATCAGTCACAGGAAGCGGAGGAGACTGATCAGTTGCAGCAGGTGGTTAAGAATCAGCAATTATCTTCTCGGGAGCCAAATAACAGTGCCTAGCATGTTGCCTGCCTTTCATTATGGTTGGTGGCTTTACGAGAGAGAGAAATTGCTCACTGCACAATCACCTCCCTGGCTGCCACCGGGACCAGGATCGTTTATGCATTGAACACCTGTGCTTTGACGTGTGTTCTTAGCTGTCTGCACGCTCGGCGTGCAGAGACTTGGTCAAACAGTGGCATGAAACAACTGCAGACTCGCATTACTTCCCTCAGCGTATGTTAGTATATTTGTGCAGCGAGTTAGATAATCCTCGAGTCTGTTATGTAAGGGACGCTGGACCCGGTTTCCAGTGGGTGCTGCTCCCCACCAATAGATGGAGCCCTCCCCAGGTGCTAGCGGTGTCTGCTCTTACCAGAACCACTAGCACCGACGGGTGCATTGTTAAAAAAAAAATAAAAAAAATAAAAATAAATCCTCGAGCTTGCCTGCCATTTGTTACTTATCTCATCATGCTGTGCCTCCCTCGTCATAAGAGAGAGAGAGAGAGAGAGAGAGAGAGAGAGAGAGAGAGAGAGAGAGAGAGAGAGAGAGAGAGAG